TTTTCCTATTTCTGATTAGTTACGCATTTAACAGATATCTACGCAACAAATGTATCGTGCTAATCGCAACACAGCAACCTGGTTTTGTAGTAGGTGAAACAGACTATTGGAGATGTCTCGTATGGATGTGGCCATTAGAAGCCGCGGAAACAGGGCTGAGCCGTGCTCTCTTTGCCGGGTCTGAATACGAGTCTTCGTCGAAGTTGAACTGGACGCTGATCGCTTCTCGCCTCAACATGAGACTTGGAAATAGGTAAGGTTACTGTATACATTGTTGTATTTATACAGGCGAGGTAATAGTCTGTCCGTCGTGACACGCCGGGGATATACATATGTCACGTCAGGGCAGAGCCGTGCTCTATGCCGGCTCTGGATTCGGATCTTGAACGGCATCTGTGGACATGGCCGGGTTGCTGGTGCCGCTGCTGCCCGAAGGGTTGGATTGAGGGGCGCTTGACTTGTATGTGTACTCCCGCCATTGACTCTACTCACGTCCAACTCCGTCACAAATCAGGGCGGCCACCGCGTCATTCCCGGGCATGTCATCCTTTTTTGCACTGCAAATGTACCTGCTAAACGTAACGTCGATGTCGGGGTCACCATATTCTGTCCTTGCACCTTGCCAGCTCCTGCTGTTCTTAGTAAACTTCAAATTTTCGCATACAGTTGGCAACAGCATATGTGGGCTGCAAGCCACCGTCACGTCTAAAAGCAATGTAAGTTGTCAACAGCAGTACATAGAGCTGTGCTGTTGCTCAGTTCGCTTCTTGACTAATGAACAAAGCGGTATGGTTCGTTGAGTGGCAGCTGCGCCCTGTTTCACGAGCGCTATTGTATTGAACAACCATGATCGATCCACATTCTCAAAGTGCGTGGCGATTACTGCTCGCTAGCAGCCTCGTGTCAAATTGGGTTTTCATGGAGATATCAGCAAACTCGGACGATGTAGTCAGCCTGTTGGCAGCGTGGTAGCAGCGGCCGCGAAACACCGCGCTGTATTCTCGAAACGAGATATTTCGAATGAACTATGTAGCCAGAGGCATTGAGTCTTTTCTTAGTTCTGTTTGGCCTATTTTCTGAACCATCGACACAGAACACCGCAGCAGAGACAACGATGCTGCACTGAAACTTTCCACTCTGACAATATGGGCTAGCGCACCCCTATCATGTGAAAGAAGACCATGCATTCCCTCCCACCACCGGCCGGCCGGCCGCCCGGTACATGCCGTGGCGCGCGGTGCCGATAGGGCGCTTCCGCCCGCGCGCGGCGGCGAATTCTCGCCCTTATTGACACCGGCCGGTCGCCGGGCGTGACATGGTCCTCTTCAAGCCGTTTGGGGAGCATGAAGCAGTTAATATTTTTCGGAAAAAAGGGCATCGTTGGACTCAGAAAAGAATACCTCACCACACGAGCCATGAGCCCGTATACTTTTCCAAAATTCGTTTTTTTTTAACAGCCCCACTGCCCACTAATCAGCTCCCAGGGACGGGGAGCTGATTAGTGACGGACGGGACGGACGGCACGCGCCCCACTGCTGCCGGAGCTGCACCAGTTCAGCGTTCGTACCTTTGTTTACCTGTGGCGGAGTCGGAGACGGGGGGCACGTGCCTCTGGCGATGAACCGGTCAGAGGCACCGCCTGAGGAAGAGGCGCGGACCGAGTGTACGGCATCAAGATCAGCCCTGTTTACAGGGTGTCCCGAATGTTCATCGACAGCCACCAGCCATGCTTCTGCGTCGAATTTCTTGAACACCTTCTTGAACACCTTGAAATTCAGCGATGAAATTTGGTATGGGTACCAAGTAGCTACAAGCGGCCTCGCACAGAATCACAATTTTCAAATGCATCCGGCCCAGCAGAGAGAGAGAGAGAGAGATCATCCTGATCATGGGTCAGACGTGAGAATTGCGGTCGCAAAAGCGAGGCAGTTCAGTAAACTCTCCGTCCAGTAATCGGTCCTAGCTCACCGAACGCCAGCGCAGGGAGCTCAGACTTCTCCCGCGCCGGCACCGGTGCCGGGAACAGCCAGTCATAAACAGCTGGATAAACAGCATCTTGGCTGGGCACGGTTGGCTAGGACTTATTTCGTGTAAAACATCTACCTTTATCTGCGCTTAAAAATTGAGTGTGGGGACGCTGGGAGCGAGCAAGTTTATATGTGGTACAATGGGAAAAGCTTACCTAGTATGAGCGACCCAGCCTGGCCCCATGAATCATGATGCTTTTTACCAGCTTATATCTCGGTAACTGCTCCGCCAATAGACAAGCAATATTTGGATTTTGGGATCAGATAAATTCATCCCTTAACCCTCGCCAGCACAAGCCATTTTGTTTCCTTCGACGGTATAGGGCGGGGGGGGGGGTGTAAGCCCCCCCCCCCCTGTCAGGCAGTGCTGTCACAGTGCTGTAACACAGGATCATATAAACAGAGCGCTCCAATTTTAGCTTATTTCCCTGGTAATTACCAGGGAAGTTCATGACTTAAGTCACGAACTGATGTATAAGACCATAACCACTGAATAACTAATTCCAAATAAGTAAAAAGCTGAAAGCAAGGAACTTACCACTTTCTTTTCAGAATTCACTACTTGATGGATGAGAAGCACAACAGACTTCAAGCGCTTCTCAGTGTCATGCTCAGTGAGGTCTGAGAACAAGCTAAGAATCTTTGATGGGACATTATTCTTCAAAGTCACAGAACCTTTTGTGGTCCCTTCAGATGGTGTAAGTGGTCCCATCTTCTCCTGTAACACAAATCAAATTGTCAACGGGCATGACTAAATAGCACTCATCCATTGGCATATAAACATTGACAATTCCATATTAGGTAACCTTAACAAAAGCATTTTGGTTACGAGCGAGCGAGCGAGCGCAGCGAAGTCTTTTCAATATAACGGAAAAATCTCAGTATGAGCGGCCCGGCCCGGCCCGGCCTGTAACGCTTTTGAGAGGCTTATATCTCAGCAACCGCTGGACCGATTGGCCAGCGGTCTTTTTTGCTGGGTAGCCCCATCCCTTCTACCCCGTAATTGACTACATTTGATACATCTCAGTGACCGTTGTGGCACGTGCCACGTGAAAAGTCAAGGGTGTTCAAGCAGTTTTGCAAAAATAGTGATTTTGAGAGGCTCATATCTCAGCAGCCGCTTGGGCGATTGACTTGCGGTGATTTTTGTAAGGTAGCAGCATCCCTTCTACCAAAAATAGGATACTCTCGATGCATGAGGGTTACCCCCAGTGCACGTGCAAAATACAACAATAAGAGGTGTCAAATTTGTTCCCATTTCAATAACTTGGTAATTACTGGGGCGATTTCGCTGAAACTTGGCATACAGGTAGGCACTCTTCAAGCAATGCATTCCCATGTGTTGCAGTTAGGGTGTTACTGCACGTGAGCACGTGCAGGGGGCGTTTCCAGATCTCGAGTACGGCTGGGCCGATTGCACTCAAATTTGGTACATGGTTGGGGACCGGTTAGTAGGGTGCCGTGCAAAAGTCATTTTGGACCCGTTTGCACGTGCGCACGTGCAGAATGCCACTTCCAGATCTCAGGAACGGCTGGGCCGATTGCATTCAAATTTGGCACACCGCTAGCGACCGGTTAGAAGGGTGCTTTGCACAAGCCTGTTGGAAGTACCCTCTCGCCCTTCCGCAAACGTGCAGGGCTCACTATCTCGCTCGCTCTTCTTCGCCCAAAAGGCAACTGAGGCATCACACCGGCGCAACTGAGACAATAAACGCAGCTGTATTAAAAATATTTGCTGTCCTTTTCGGTAAAAGTTGCGCAACGTATGTTATGAAAGTGATGTCAAAATAACAAAAACATGAAAAAATTGTGGTATATGGGAAAGAGAACACCGTGTGACGCCTACTTTACGACTAAGTTGGGCCCTTCATGTCCTGCCATAATTCTTTCATTTTCAAATTGCTGCACGTCACAAGAATAAACCTTCTTTTCTTACTCTCAAAAGCGGAAGCTGAAGCCCGTACCGGTAACATCCACTGTGCGGTCAGTTTGACAGATCTATGGACAGCCCAGTTGCTAAGATACCAACTTACCGGATATCCAGTCAGGCTGCTTAACTCAAAATACTACTATTTTTTAGCATAAAATAACATTACACGTGCCAATATTTTAAGAAATTCGTGGCCAACCCACGTGTTGTTGTTCGCGAGCCATTTTCGCAACATTCAAGGAAGCGTATTTGACAGGTCGTGTCACCACGCATTTTGAGGTATCAGAATATGACGTCATCTGCGATTTGAGTGCTTTGAGTGGGTTCCTCTCGCAAGGCTACCTCGGTTCCTCGAGAGTTGTTTATATTTATATGCACTTCACCGTGGTCAATATGCTACATTTGAACTGCAGGGCTTTCAAAATATAGCGTGCACTTCAAAACGTTTATGAAACCAGATCATTGCTATAGAAGGCCTTGGATCATTGGTTTTGGGAAAATCCACTGAACTCTAAAATGGGAAAATCCACGGAAAATCTATTCCGTACCCAAAACTAGTGCGAATGTATCAAATCACCCTCATTTTTCACCAAATCAAGCTGTGAATAGTAATTTTGGTACGAGATGCATTCACCTTAAGGTGGCCGTCCACTGGTTAGGCGTGTATTCAGCGCGCAATCGTTCGGCGCCTAGCGCGCATTGAAAAGTTCAATTATTTCAACTCTTCAGCGCGTGATTCGGCGCCGACCAGTCGACGAATAATCAGCTGACTGCCCTTCATCGCGCGTTCGGCGCTGAACCGCAGTCGGCGCGCAGCCCATAGATTCCAATGTTAAATTCATCGCGTAAAGATGTGCGCCTAACCAGTGGACGGCCACCTTTACACCAAATCTACCTCACACCGTATCTCCACTACTTTGATGCTGATTCACTGAAAAGCGAAATTCAGCCACTCGCTTCCCATCCAATTTTTTTCTTGTGGAAAAAAGGTTAGATCAGGTAAGGCTGGACTTGAAAAACATTATGCCCCAGGCAAAAAAAGCTGACCAGTTACAGTCGTTTATTACGGCGACATATTCGTAACATTGCACTTTCTCTCACAAGAATTATGCAACCCACTCCGGATCGTATCGGTAGCACTCTGTTTACTGTTGCATTTAGCTCGGGCATCGACACTTACGCACGACATACACTTCGCCAGCCCCTTGGCCTCATCGTACCCCAATCCATAACACGGCACTGTTCATCACATATAAAGCATGCGCATTGCGCAACTATGAGATAACATCCCTTATCAAATGACAATATATCAATGTAACATGATAGCTTCCCCAGATATGATAGAATACAATGACTGGAACATAAGATGGCCTGCATCAGGTTGTAACACACTTCCACAACAACGACAGGCGCAGTGGATACCAGGATACCACTTCTGCAGCCGACCCCGCGGCCACGGAATCCTCTGGGAGGCGGGCATCGCAGTGGTCGAGCCGGCGCCTGATCCAGTAGGCAAACGTAACAATCACGTTACATCAGATCAGCCACTGCAGATAACAGCTATGTAGCGTGGTCGTCGCACTTCTCAGTAATTCTCCATAGTCCATCCTATTATTTTCGGAGATAAGAACAGCAGCTTTGTCTATTGTACAAGCATATAGCTTTCTAGTCTCCATCGCGAACGACCGTGGCGCGCCTACCCTGCACGGTGATCTGCTCCATCGGGCACCCCCGCTCAGGGAGGCGGCGTGGGCTGCTGCAGCAGCGCCTCCGTGTGCGCCTGCCGCCAGAACAGCACCAGCCGGTCGTCGTCGTTACGGCAGAAGGCGGTGAGCTCGGCCATGAGCCGGTCGGCCGAGTCGTCCCCCACCCGCCACCGGCGCGACATCAGACTGTTGTTGAGCCACTGCAGGTCGGCCTGGTGGGCAGGGTTGGGTCAGTCTCATAGGAACGCTCAAAACTGGCGGATAATGAGCCTGAGGTAGAGGAGCCAACCGGAAACCGTTATACGCAACGAGAACGACACGTTACTACGGTAAACAGCGTAAACACAACATAAAATACCACCATGAAACCAAACTGCAAAACAGATACTGATAACAAAATCTGATTGTAAATATATTCTAGCTGTCAGACTCTAGCACGGTCCAACTGCACAGTGAACAGCTGCGACTGACCTTGACCGGGTCGCCGTCCTCCCCAAACTCGGGCTCCAGGATCTGCACGAAGCAGTGACCGTGACTGTGTACGAACTGGTACGGCGGCTCCGGTCGCGGCCCGCGCACCCGCACGAAGCTGAACTGCTCCAATATGGCCGTCTGCAGTAGCAGCAGCCGCTCCGGCCAGGTCGCCGGGTCGAAACCTGTCCACATAAAAAATAGAAATAGCTTTCATTGATCACTTTCTCATCGCATACCTCAGCGCGTTATGCCTACAGTACATGGCGCACACAAGGACAAAAACTTTTTAAAGCGAACGTTATTCATTATAATCGTCGCCAGCATACATAGGCCGCACTGATAATGTATCGATACAGCATTCATCCCACATTAGCCAGCAGGTGGATCCCACTGCCATTCCGCCGACAAATGTACATATTTCCCGCCTCCCACCGTCAAAGAGCGGCCGTCCGGGCCGGCGGAGCTGGTCGAGCGCGATGGGCACCGGCACGGCGATGCGCAGCGGGTCGATATCCCCCTGGTCGCCAGGACACATCACGGCCGGGACGGGGAACAGGCGCAGGCCGAAGTTGTGCGCGCGCCGCTGCCAGCCCACCACCTGGACGGGACAAATACGCCTCATGACAAATACGCCACGATCATATCCATCGAGCCATCCACATTACACGGTTAATGTGAGCAAGTACATGCTGTAGACAGTAGAATGTAGATAGTTACTGCTTGGCTAGAGATAGAATCGCGTATAACTAAGTCCCACGGCACACTGTTACTTACCCCAGAATACGATCCACTATCAGATATGACTACAGGGTGGGGCAGAAAGATTTACCTCTTGATTTTCTTAAATATTTCGGCCCCGAACAAAGATATCAAATTAATTTCTGGCACATATATGCAGTAACATGTACACATCTCAGCGACGGCATAATGACTCAATATGGTCACCTTTGCCTTCACCACTGCTTCGAAACGCCCCTCTGCGGGGGGGGCACGAGCGCCGCACTGTGTCCCCGCCAAGATTCGACGGTGCCGTCTCGAGGGCCAGCTTCAGGACGGCGATTCTGCTGTGTGGCACTGCACACACCCTCCTCTCTAAGATGGCCCAGATTGCGAAGTCCATCGGGTTCAGGTCTGGACTTGATGATGGCCGAATGTCTTTGTCCCAGAACCCAGGCATGTGGGTCTTCCACCACGGTTGAGCGATGTTGGCCGTTTGCAGCGGCGCACCGTCCTGGACGAAGACGTATCCGTCTCAGAACGACTGAGTGACCCAAGACAAAGCATGTTCCTCCAGCAGATGGACTTGAACCTCTGAATTCACTTTCACAGCCTCCTTGATGAAGCCCAAGGCTTCTTTTGAGCCGTCGGATGCGACGGTAGCCCAAACCATGACACCAGCAGGCTTCAAGCAACAAAAAATGGTGCGAATAGCAGGATCAATACTGGATGGACCATCTGCCAAAATGTTGACGCTTTGGGAGTGTCTCTGGGGCTCAGGCATGAACATGTTGTCATTGGACCAGCAGAATGCCTTGTTACCGGCGCTCCTGATCTCCTCCAATGTCTTTTGGATCCTGTGTAGCCGGTTTTCCTTGGATGCCGCCGAAATTAGGTGTCGACGTTGCATCCTGTATGACATAAAGCCTAAGCCGTCGTTTATGATTCTCTTGGCGGTTCTGGGCTAAACAACGAGTTCCCTTGGCAGTTTGCGCATGCTTCGCCTAGGAATTGGAACACCTTCTTGTGCACGATATCAACTGGCTTTTTGAAGCGGAAATCCCTTGTTCTGCCTGGCATGTACTTCGACGACACTAGCACTGTCTTTTTAAGTCATTTAATTATACTGCAAACAGTTTTTACGGCAACACCGAGCTGTTTGGCAACGCTTCGGGAGCTGTGGCCAGTCTACTTCAGCGCCGCAATTTGGGCTCACTTAGTCATCTTCACCATAGCTCACCAACAACTATTACAAAATGTAAAAACGATCTTAAAGCTGATACATGAGTCAGTTGGGAAGCTGCATGCAAAATTTTATCAAAATCCGTTCATAACTTTTTAAGTAATGGACTGAAAACAAACAGGTAAATCTTTCTGCCCCACCCTGTACCTGTCGAGTCATGTTCAGCAGTTTCCGTATCTATTATACATGTCGGTAACGGTAAAATACACTAATTTTTCGCTTATTACGAAAAGTCTGGACCAACTGCTCACCAGGTCGGAGATGAGGCTGCCGGTGCCGACCAGCCAGTTGATACAGAACTGGTACGCCCGGTCCGGTCGGAAGGAGCTCTCGTAGCTGATCTCGCCCCATTCGGCGCGGTCCGACTTGGAGGACACGTCCAGGCTGAGCGCGCCGCGACGCATCTCGCTCACTGCACGGCAGGGAGGGATAAAGGGAAATAGAGCCAGTGTCAATGTAGTGATGCCGAACATGCATGACTCACAAGACTCACATACTAATTACATGTACACATATTTGTGGAAAGTTTCGGTGAGGTTGATAGACAAGAATAGTGTGGGCAAGTCGACAAGACATTCCTGTAGATGACCTACTTAACGTGGGGGGGGGGGGGTGAAATGATAACGTGCACTGAATTCGATCACGCATTACAGTACAAATCACAATTTGTCTGGAATGTGTCCATTCAGCAATTACTTGCGACGCAATGTGAGCAGAGCGCACTACTGACTAGCACCGGCGAGCGTCATGTCTCACCGCCGTGTGCGTCGTCGGGCGGCAGGGCGGGTGAGAAGAGTCGACTGCCGACGGGCGCCGGCGGAGGCCACGAGAACTGGCTCTCCACCTCCAGCCAGTAGTCGCTGAACTGCTCCTGGTGCGCCGCGCTGCTCAGCTGAGGGCCGTCTGCGACAGGAAACGGGACGTGAACGACGAAAATTCAACAAATGTATCTTCAAATGCAAAAGCAGTAGCTATAACAAACAAACACTTTAATTCTTGCGACCGGGACCGTAGTAACAGACGTGTAGCGAGCATATATGTACACCACAACGTACCCGCTGGTGAAGTCAGGCAGAACAGGCAGAAACCGTTCATAAACGGCTTCTTGGCATCCCTAGACGCGTGAAGTATCAGTCCAGCGTTCCACAGTTCCTGGTGAAATCAAACAAGCATGTCAATTTCACCCTCATTCCATTTCACTTTTATATCAATCGATAAAATAAATGCAAGAGCCTAGAACAAGCCAAGATCGCCGCACGTAACAAAGGACAACGAAATTCCCCAGCATAATATCAAATACCACACGGCTGACCTTGCAGTAGGCGACGGCCTCCGCCTCGGAGCTGAGCCCGGCCACGTGCTGGTACACCCACTGCACAAGGTCGGCGGCTATGAACGTGAACTCGGGCAGGCCGCCGTGCACGCAGCGGGTCAGAAACGGCAGGCCCGTGTCCGGCGAGCGCAGCGCCTCAGACACCTGGCGGAAGGAACTAACGTCAGAATCACCGCACACTGACCCTGAGGGACGCTGACAATAAATGAACACCGACGCTGAGAAACAACGTAAACCGAAAAGCAGTGACAAGTCACCAGCGATTACCACAATTTTCGCACAACGAATGTTGTGATTTGGACGCTTACAACTTCTAATAGTTAAATTAATTCCCTGTGCTTAGATTTGAAGCCATGGCCGAGAAACAGGCCGGTCGGCCGCTACTGACCTCCGTGGGCGGCGCCGTGCGGGTCAGCAGGGTGCCGGAGCTGGGCGGGCCGCCGCACGTGCCCGTCGACACGTCCTCGGCAGAGTTGGAGGCGGTCGGCACCGCCGGTCTGATGCCCGCCTTGCTGACGCTGCTGCCGGACCGGGCGCGACTCCGCTGGTCCATCCGGTTACTGGGCAGACGCTCCTGCGGCCGGGCGAGAAATGAGCTGATATCAATACAGACAGTGCCATACAGCGGGAAGATATGCAAAGCTGCGGGTTTAAGGGACCCTCCCACCTTAACATTAGATTTGAGTTGAGATAGCCAAAATGGGGTCCCTGGCTCACAATTACCGGTTTCGGCACTCTCAACATCGAGAAATGCCTTAAATCGGAAATATTGAATTTCAAAATTGCAGCATTTTGATTCAGAGGGGCTAATGCATAGGAATACCCCTCTGAATGTGTGACGTCAGCGCAGATATCTAACGATTTTTAAATGTTTGACTAAAACGTTTTGTAGCACGCGGTGGTATATGCTGCTTTGCGCGCAACAAGTGCCGCACTTTCAGCTGCCAAACTATTGCTTCCAAATAAAGTCGCTAGGAACAGCGGAGATTCCAAAAAGTAAGCAAAAGTAAAAGTCTAATATCTTGAAAACCGGTGAATATTTTTTCGGTGAAATATTGTAGATATTCGTTTTCGCTCTTTCTGAACCGAGCGACATTACTTTCATGCCAATTCATAAACTTTTTTGAAGGTGGGAGGGTCCTTTAACGGCGGTGTGCTTGTAACGACGGACAAGTAACTGGAAGAACGTTTAGGACTGCAATAAATGGATGGTGATTCAAAAATATATTGCCTTCGACGAAAACGGCAACCGAAAAAAATACCAAAGATTTCAGAGCCTAGCGCCCACTTATCATTATACCAGGAAAAGCTAGCCCATCCACCGACCATGGAAAATCAAGAAAGGCTATATCCAGTGTCACACACCCTGATCTGTGGCCGGGCCGTGGTCGGCTGGTGGCGTTTGAACCGGTTCAGCGCGAACCCTGATTGTCACTCACCCTGATCTGTGGCCGGGCCGTGGTCGGCTGGTGGCGTTTGAACCGGTTCAGGGCGAACGTCACTGCGCTGATGAACTTGATGAAGTTGTCCACCACCGTGCGGTGGTCGGGCGCCGCGCCGGCCGGGTGGCTGGGGTCCCGGCACGCCGGCAGGCTGGGCACCAGCAGGAACCGGCAGCGCCAGTACTTGAGACTGGGCGTCAGCTGGAAGTCGACGCCGCCTGTCCGAAACGGCACGTCACATACATCAGCTTTCCTTCAGTATTTCACGCGGGTACTTTGGAGCGAATGCAAAAATTAAAACAGATTCAGACAAATCATAGGTGGGGAGCAACGTCTGAGAGCACACCTAAGCGAGCAAAACAAACAAACAAACAAAGAAACAAATAAACAAAACACACATCCAAGACGCCAGCCATCCGTGTGTCGCAGCCTCTGAAGGTTAAGTCGCACCTTTAGTGCAGACGTAGTTGTCGAGGAAGTTCCAGTTGTAGCTCTCTGGCCGGTCGGTGCTCAGCTCCGCCTGACAGAGCACGTAGCTGGGGTGGTGGTGGCACTGGGCACGGTAGCGGTACCGGTGCCGCTTCACCGGGTACGGGTGTCTGCGGCGGAGACGAACGGGGTGTCACACACGGGCGCTCTTGTAAACACACGCTTTGAACGCAGTGTACAGATGATCCTGCGGTGGCAGAGCAGGCTCGAGTTGCCTCAATCAGTTGCCACTCGTCTGTCACCGATAGGAATTGACAGGGCGGATGTAGCAGATGGTCCGATACATAGGTCACACCGCAATGATTGAGCCGGTTCAGCCACAAAGCAATTGACGCAAGGTCGCATATACCGATTAACCAACCCCAAATCTGCACGTAAAACGACACATCAAGATTGCACTGTGACTGCTATCACCACGACTTCACATTACAGTTACAGTCATACGCTGGCAGCTCGCACAGTACCTGGGCCGGTAGTGCGTGACGTTGATGGCCGAGCCGCAGAGCAGCACCCGGTGGAAGATGCGTCCGATGCTGAGCAGGTACTCCTCGCGCTGCTCCTGGACGGCGCGCTGAGCGAACACGGCTCGGCCGACGGCCGGCGCCGCGGCAGTCACCTTGACCGACGGCACCACCAGCTGGAAACCCTGCGGCGGGAGAGAGGCGCCACAGCCGCCGGTCACTTATGGGCAACAGGCGCACTGTACGTACATGGATTAGGAGCAACGAGACACCAATACGTTTCAAATAGTCGTGACCCGTGATGCTTATTTATTGTGACGACATATCCTGTAGACTTAGAGAAAGTGTGTGGCGGGTTGATACAGTAAAAGGCATCGATGTTGTCTCCATTCTTCGGCATACTCGTAATCGCAGTTCACCTATGTATTTAACAAGACAAAGATATCGTGAGTTATAGTCTGACGTAGAAATTGTACACATAATTTCGCATTAAGTGCTTACGTTAACCGGTAAATTACTTTATTAACTCCTGGGCGTCGAATGCCGTTTGTCCTCACGCAGCCCAAAATACGAGTATAAGAGGTGGGTATGAAAACGTCCTTTTGGCGTTTGATGGTTGACACAGACTCCGCACTCCCCATGGGATAATGAATGAGGCAATCAGCCAGGAAGGGACCATCAGAACGAGAAGAATGACGTAATGAGTAGGAGACGGGCGGCAGTAAAAAACTCGGGTGCATTTGTGGGTATGGTCGTTGCCCTCAATGCATTCATACACAATTATACAGAAAATGTGAATATGTGTATTTAATTCGGCCGTTTTAAGCATACGTCACCTCGCCAGATAACAACTGAACTGATAAAAACTGGACATCAAGCCACACAGCAACAAACAAGCATGCACACAATTCTCGTCCTGACAAACATCAACAGTAGACACCAAACACATTGAGAAAAAACATCGAACAATCACGATTGCACCAAGTGTCCACAATACCAATGGTTTGAGATTTGAGAACAATTCAGCGCTGAACGTAACCTCAGTTTGAGCATGTTTATCACTTCTTCTTAGAAAATATTTGAGCTAATACCCGCCTATGCAGAATGCAGCACTATACACAATAAGCATTGCCTAGAAAGTTGAAAATCGCACTGCAGCGGCTCACTGTCGTCTTGATCCGCGTCCCGGTCTCTGAAGTGGCATTACGGTCTCAGTAGTCATTCGAGGCAGCAGATGGGGCTCTGGGTGCGTAGTTCTGTCGCTGTTCAAGGCTGCAGTGAGGGCTGTTTGAGCGGACCTCAACAGCCATTCAAGACAGCAGCGAGGACACAGATCAGCCCGGCCTAATTTGACCGCTCGGCGGACGACTCAGCTGGCCGACTCGATTGGGCGGCTGTTTGTGAACCAGCTGCCACAGGCTGCTACCACCCAGGATAAAAGGCTGCTGGAACAGGGCCATCACGTCGCTAGAACTGGAGACGGGTCCCGGCCGCACCGGTCGGACTGGCCGAGTGGGCCGAGCCCAGGGCAGCGGGCGCGGGGTGCTGGTCTTCGCTGTGCTGCTGGCGGACGGTCTGGTAGCAGTTGTCGCAGTAGTGGCGGGGCTCGGGACCTCAGTCGTTACGGGAGCTTTTCGTGTAGTGGTAGACAAAGTCCTTGAAGTTGTTGGCGCGGTAGTCGTGGAGGTTGATCTAGTAGTTGTAGTAGTTGTCGTGGTAGTTGTAGTAGTTGATCTGGTAGTTCTTGCAGTGGTTGTAGTGGGTATTGTGGTAGATGCTGTGGTAGTTCGTGTAGTAGTTGTAGTAGGTGTTGTGGTAGTTGTAGGCGTTGTGGTAGTTGTAGTAGTTGCTGGTGTTGTGGTAGTTGTGGCAATTGTAGTAGTTGTTGGTGTTGTGGTAGTTGTAGTAGTTGTAGGTGTTGTGGTAGTTGTAGTAGTTGTTGTTGGTGCTGTGGTGGTTGTTGTCGTAGTTGGTGTTGTGGTAGTTGTGGTGGTTGTAGTAGTTGTTGGTGTTGTGGTAGTTGTAGTAGTTGTGGTTGTAGATGTGGTAGTTCTTTCAGTAGAAGTTGTGGTAGTTCTTGTGGTAGTTGCGGTAGTAGTTGCGGTAGTTGTGGTAGTTCTTGCAGTAGTTGATGTGGTTCTTGTCGTTTCTGGTAATGTGAACACGGCCGCTGTCGGCGCAGTGATGCCAGCGGTTGGAGGAGCTGCAGATGTAACTGCTGCTGTGGTAGTTGCACTACCGAACGCCGCCGCCTCCCCGGTCTGTCCGCCGGGGCCGGTCTCCAGCGTCACCAGGACGGCGGTCAGCTGTGCCAGCGCCGCGCCCGGCAGGCCGCTCAGAGTGTGCACCAGCGTCCCATTCCGACTGCTGACGGTGACCGTGGTCAGCTGGTCGTCGCTGTCGGCGGCGGCACACAGCGACGCGCTCTCGGCGGTCTCACCGGGCGGCTCGGGTACCGGGGGAGTGGGGACGCTGTCCGCCGGCGCCAGCAGACCAGGCGGCAGCTCCGTACCGGGAGTCTCTCGGGGCGGTATCGGCGGCGCGGGCGGTCCGGTCGGAGCAGCGTCCGCCCCCACCAGTACCTCCAGGTACTGCGGGCCGGCCGAGACCAGTGCGTCGCCGGACTGGACGGCCGGCACCTCCAGCGGTCCGGCCGGCCGCGGCACCTTGACGTGCACGCCGTGCGGGCCGGCCACCACGAACCGCTCGCCGTCGGCGCCGACCACTGTCACCTGACCGTCGGCGGTCACCGCCACCGGGGAGGCGCCCAGCGGAGGGGCCACCGGCGGCGGCCTCCGCTCGTCACTGAGAGGCAGATCGACGGGCAGTCGCCAGTCGAAGAAGAACGAATCGCTGGTGTCGAAGGTGATGGGCCGTCTTCTGGGCGCTGGCGGCAGAGGCGGCGACAAAGGTCTGGCTCCAGCTCGGCCGCTGAAGTGTACGGTCGAATCAAATGTCGGCACCGTCAGCGGACGGCAGGAGACGGCCGATAGCAGCGACACGACCCAGCACAGCGCGCCGCCAGGAAACTCCATTGTCGGTCAGAGGTGCATCGTCCGAGCCGGACTGCCACACTTGACAGCTCGACCGTTTGACTTGGCCACCACGGCGCAATACACACCGAGCGCAACTCTAGTCCGTCTCACACGAGGACGAGCCGCCAAAGTCACCAGATAGATGGACTGCCGACGCCAGCTAAGCACACGGTGGAGTAACACCTTCAAAAGCCTTCAAGCAACACGGTGGCATTGAGCCAGTCGACAGTAACTAGCACCGAGCCGGCAGGGTTCAAGAGGCGGCGCCCAACACCTGGCTGTGAGTAAGGCTGTAGACCCACTGTCAGTCAGGCACTGGAGCCAATGAAGCGGCCAGCCGGTCAGCTTCCGGTACTTTATGGCTTCCGACTAGCGGTGCGACCACAAAGGCCCGTTACCGATCCATTTTAGTTGCCGTTTCCGTGACGTTAAGTTTTTGTTGGTTGTTGGTTTGCGGGAGCCGACGGTCGGTTCGGAAACCGGACCTGGCTGGTCCGGTGAGTGGCGGTTCTAAATGCACGGCTAAGAAGCTGTATGGATATCGAGGGCAACGGAGAAGCGTTTTACCTGACGATCTGATAGAGCCGCTGGGAGACCGTTTCGCCTCACAGAGCCGCTAGGGTCTTTTTTCCGTTGTACTGACCTGATAGAGCCGCGGGGTCTGTTTCTCGGCTCGACTGACCTGAAAAAGCGGCGATGGATACTCTGTTGGACTCACCAGAGCCTCTGCCCGCTGGGGTCTGTGTTCTCTGGTTGGACTCACCTGACAGAGCCGCTGAGAGACGTCTCGTTCAACTGATCTGACAGAGTCGCTGCGGGCACTCTATTGGACTGACCTGACAGAGCCGCTGTGAGACCATCTCGGTGAAGACCTCGCGGGTGGTGAGCTGGCGGTGCGCGCCGCCGACGTCCTCGGCGCAGCCGCCCACGTCGTCCGGCAGGATGCTGTACTCGAAGAGGAAGTAGTCCTTCTGGAGGCTGCGCTCGTCGGGGAAGTAGTCGGTGGTGATGGGCAGGCACGCCGGCGTGGTCAGGGACTTCCAGTCCACACCTGGCACCGGGTGAACGGGTGGGCGAGCGTCTCCGTGATATTGGATAGACAGCGTGCCTGCTACACGGTGGTCATTAGTGAACAACAGTGCCTAATGTAATGTAATACTTATGACTACATTTCCACAGTCGTGATCATGAAATGCCACCGACTCATTATCACGATTCAACGATAGCGTTCATCAATTTCATTTCAACGATCGCTTTCCACGAAACCTTCGATTTCATTTGTCCGATCAACATTATTTTTGTAGAAAGGTTCGAACATAGGCCTCTGGTGTACAGAGGTCTATGTTTCGAGTTATATCGAATCTCGACAATCGTCACCCAGTGGAGCGTGTATGTCTGCAAAGGGGCATATTTTTTGGCAGTTTGCTAAGCGTTCACGAAAACATTGTTTTAGCAAGCATCTTAAATAATGAAGCTAAATATTAAGAACGGCTTTTGTCGTGGAAAATAATGCCCTATTATTGTTCCAAAATCAGGGGCAAATAAGTACATTTTCCTGGAGCGGAGACAAGCAAGTAGCAGAGCTCACTAAATGCATTGACAAATAAACATGTTTACTACGCTCCCACCGCCCACTCGTCTGAGTTCTTTTTTTGTAGGAAGCGACATGACACTGCTGTTTTCTGCAGCTAATGTAAGGGTTCGGTGCAACTGCATACCGCATCGAAGGGTTTAGGGATGGGAAGGGGGATTTTCAGTCCACGGGCAATGCTTCTAAAATGTGACCAGGTGACCTCATCCTAGTAAATCGAATGAATTTTTCAAAGCTCAATTACGCGGGCCCAAGTTAAGGAGACATCCATCCCTCCTCCCGTTCGCAACGTCAACCATGCATTGCCGGACGAATCGCTTTCCGCAGGGGTGATATCCCAAATCGTCTTCGTTTATGGAAGTTTTTCATAAAATATAACAGAAATATACAAACTGCACACGCCTATTCGACGAACCATAATGTAGAGGGTAACAAAATGAGTTACGGAATACACCATGGCTAGTGTACACAGCGTATAGCATGCAACTATGCATGCTTACGTCTAAGGGTGACCAGAGTACGTACCCACCAATACTCCGACCATGTGCGCTACGAACACGGTGTACCGTCAGGGGGACAAACGTACTACGCGCACAATATCAAACATGATCAGCAACGCAGAAAATAATGAGCAAATCACCAGCGAACGAAAACCGCGGCACCCCTTGGTGGACAGTAAACACAAATTTGAGCACCGCCGGGCATCAACCCACTCATTTATGAATGGTAAAACGTGGTGTACGATTTAAATACGCCCACAGTCGTACAAAGTTCTGTCTCAATAAATAATGTTAGTCACATGTCTAGGAAACGAGCGTTATTTGAATAGCTACCATAACATGTAGACGAGGGATGTACGCATGTGCACGTGCAGTAAGACATCTTCAATAACGAAAGGTAGATACGCCACAAAAGCTAGACGGTTACACACAACACACAGGGGAACCAAAGCCATACATATAAACGGCCGAAGCGTAGTTTTGCCGTTTTCGACTGAGCATAGTTTCGAAAACGGCGTCCACAGGCGGCAGAGCAGGGAAGGACATCGGGACACCGACCACTCCACTGAGTCTGAAAGTGTGGGGAGCACCAATAGAAAGGTGTTCTCCTGAAAATGCAAACAACAGCACAAAACGACGAGCAGTTGCGAAGATCAGGCGACAACATGTATGAATTTCGTTCATCGGTGACCTAACTGTTTGAAGTTCGAAGCATACAAACGTCCATGCTTTATTTGGTAGTTCGCTGGTAACCATTTTGAGGCATTTGTTGGCATATTTTCAAATAAAATGTCACTCAGCTATTCATATTTGAAATATGGAATGTACTAAAGACAGATACCGTAAGGAGTATATAGAAGAAAAATGGACAGAACAATCGCTCAATAGGTCCCGTACAGGCAGCCTGCTGAGAAGACCAGAGCAGTGTCCCTTCCCGATCCGGAGGATCTCCGCTCTGTCCCGCTCTTGAGCTTGAGGTTGAGAAGGGATGTTGCCATACTTGGACATCATGCATAGCTATGCACCTACTAGCATCTCAAAAATAAGTTGGTCCTTATAAGTCGTGTCAAAACTGCGGCACTGGAGGTGAAGCCGGATTTGAAGGAAATCAGTATTCTTTAACAGATGTCAGTTCTTTGACGGACTAGAGCGATGCAACACAGAGAAACCAAAGCTCCTTCCGCAATGACTTTTACTTTGCTTATAAATGGGCACCGCCTGTCCGCAATATTAAAAAATAAGCGAATAAACAAACAAATGCGTCGTCAGGCAACGCTTCAAGCATTGGGCCGGACTGAGAGGAAAGAAGAGTTCAATGGAAGATTAAGTGACCCATCCACTGACCTGTGGTAATGTGGGCCGACCACTCCTGCTCGCCGGTACTGGAGGCGCCCCACAGGAACGACAGAGACGGACTGCCCATCGCCTGGTCGCTCGATACCCGAGGCGCGTCTGGCGTACAGTTCAAATCGCTGAGTTCTATGGCGAGTTATATTGAAAGGAGGTGTAATGATTCCATTTTGAAGCTGGTAATTGTTTTGGGTGCAATACCGGAGGGTGAAATTAGCTACCTACTTCTTACAATCACCTCTAGATCAAAAAAGGAAAACGCAGGATTTCTAAAAACGATGCAGTGAGTTTAATTCATTCAGCAATGCGAAAAACAAAACAAAAAATTATCATACAGACACTCAAACCGAAAGACAAGGATATGCATAAAATCACATCCAAATAGTGCTCCTGATATTCAAGAAAATACAAATCAAATAATATCCCCGGTAGGTGTTGGTTTAATTTATGAAACGATTACCCTGGGACATGCGAAAAAAACGTCTGAATTTTGCAGCGCACATAACAAATTCATATACCACTATCTATAATAAAAGAGGTCGTCTTACCTTTTCCGCCGACGTCCAGGCCGCGCGCGTTGGCATAGTGATGCTGCTGAAAGAGCACACCTTTGGGTCCTGCAAAACACAAAACTATGTAAATGTACTCAGGTAGTATGTACAGTGTACACTCCGCAAAAATGGTGGAAACAGATAATTAATTGCTTAGAAACCGATGGTATCACGATGGTCAGTCTGACAGTATGTGACCGCGTTCTCTGCGTCGTTCAAGGTGTTCTTGACTGACCTTTCGGGAAGATGTGCGTCCACCGGCGGCGGTTGGAGGTGTGCTTCACCACGATGTTGCTCGGGTCGAATGGGTTGAAGAGGGCGCGGCCGGGCCGGTGCGTGCCCGTGCCGCGGCTCAGGCTGAGGTCGCACGCCGACACGGCCGAAGTGGCCGGCCGCGGCGGCGAGCGGTTCACGTCGCTGTCGTCAAACGAGAGCCGACGCACGTTGGCGCTGCCGTCTGTCGGAGCCGACGATGGGGGAACAGAGGGCCGGTCAGCGACGACGAGGGACGGACAGCAACACCGGGTGGGGAGGGGGAGGACAGAGGGTCGGTCAGCGATGACGAGGGACAGAGAGCGACCACGGAGGACGGACAGACACGGCAGGGGGCCAGAAGGTCGGTCAGCGATGTCGAGGGAATTATCAAAACGAAATGAGCGGGATGGAAAATACCATTTTAGTCATATCGTATTATTAAAGCGTTCATTACCCACATGCGCATCCACAGCACTTGCTTTTTGTGCCTGAGGGATCATTGAGCCAGTTGAAGCGTCAATTAGTTATCATTTTAGCCAGTGCCGTGCAGGGAATCCCAAGGATGGATTACCAAATTGAAAAAAAAACACTCAAAAACACTCAATTCGAGAAGGACAGTGTAAAGTATCATGTCAGATTAATGGATGATGCCCGCCGCTCTCGGCGAACCAGTATAGGTGATGGCAGGGCGCCGCTGACGGCACTGACGCGGCGGCACACCCACGGGACCAGTCACTGCCGGCGCAGTGACGCAGTGACACTCACCGGACCAGCGCAGTGACACACACCGGTCACTGCTCACCGGCGCAGTGACACTCACCGGCGCAGTGACACTCACCGGCGCAGTGACACTCACCGGCGCAGTGACACTCACCGGACCGGTCACTGCCGGCGCAGTGACGCAGTGACACCCACGGGACCAGTCACTGCCGGCGCAGTGACGCAGTGACACTCACCGGACCAGCGCAGTGACACACACCGGTCGCTGCTCACCGTACAGTGACTCACCGGCGCAGTGACACTCACCGGACCAGCGCAGTGACACACACCGGTCGCTGCTCACCGGACAGTGACTCTCCGGCGCAGTGACACTCACCGGCGCAGTGACACTCACCGGACCGGTCACTGCCGGCGCAGTGACGCAGTGACACTCACCGGACCGGTCGCTGCCGGCGCAGTGACGCAGTGACACAGTGACACTCACCGGACCGGTCGCTGCCGGCGCAGTGACGCAGTGACACTCACCGGACCGGTCGCTGCCGGCGCAGTGACGCAGTGACACTCACCGGACCGGTCGCTGCCGGCGCAGTGACGCAGTGACACTCACCGGACCGGTCGCTGCCGGCGCAGTGACGCAGTGACACTCACCGGACCGGTCGCTGCCGGCGCAGTGACGCAGTGACACAGTGACACTCACCGGACCGGTCGCTGCCGGCGCAGTGACGCAGTGACACTCACCGGACCGGTCGCTGCCGGCGCAGTGACGCAGTGACACTCACCGGACCGGTCGCTGCCGGCGCAGTGACGCAGTGACACTCACCGGACCGGTCGCTGCCGGCGCAGTGACGCAGTGACGCAGTGACACTCACCGGACCGGTCGCTGCCGGCGCAGTGACGCAGTGACACAGTGACACTCACCGGACCGGTCGCTGCCGGCGCAGTGACGCAGTGACACTCACCGGACCGGTCGCTGCCGGCGCAGTGACGCAGTGACACAGTGACACTCACCGGACCGGTCGCTGCCGGCGCAGTGACGCAGTGACACTCACCGGACCGGTCGCTGCCGGCGCAGTGACGCAGTGACACTCACCGGACCGGTCGCTGCCGGCGCAGTGACGCAGTGACACTCACCGGACCGGTCGCTGCCGGCGCAGTGACGCAGTGACGCAGTGACACTCACCGGACCGGTCGCTGCCGGCGCAGTGACGCAGTGACACAGTGACACTCACCGGACCGGTCGCTGCCGGCGCAGTGACGCAGTGACACTCACCGGACCGGTCGCTGCCGGCGTAGTGACGCAGTGACACTCACCGGACCGGTCGCTGCCGGCGCAGTGACGCAGTGACACTCACCGGACCGGTCGCTGCCGGCGCAGTGACGCAGTGACACTCACCGGACCGGTCGCTGCCGGCGCAGTGACGCAGTGACGCAGTGACACTCACCGGACCGGTCGCTGCCGGCGCAGTGACGCAGTGACGCAGTGACACTCACCGGACCGGTCGCTGCCGGCGAACACGGATCCGAACGACGAGGAGAGCAGTTCGCCGCCGCTGGCCGACGAGGGGCTCTGCACCAGCGGTGAGCTGCGCGCTAGAACACACGGCCGGGCCGGCGCCCGAGCGGCGGTTACACTCGGCCCCGCAGGCACCCGGTTAGACACCAGCATGCACCAGAGGCAGGCCCACGCAGGTCCGCAGGTCCCCACTCAAGCCGCACCCCAGCCAACGCTGCTGCAACGGGACGGCAAACTGAGCCCCGGCACAACGCACCACTTGGCCCCGTACAACGCAATTACAACATGCCATAACCGACTGCAGGTTATGGGAAGTTAGCAGCATCGGAATACATACTGTTATGCTGGATTCGTAACGCATTGGTACTGTCACCCAAAATATCGGCAAAATTACTCTTAAGACGCGACAGGTGAGTTCTCTTACTATACAATTAGCAGTCGATTCGGTATGATATACCACATTCAAATCATGTGAAGGCCCGTTCATCAGATAAACCCGTGAATATCAGTCCGCCATCGTGCCTTCCTTATAAATGCCGTCGTTGTTTTTGATGAAAGCCAGTCTTTCTTTAAAAAAAAAATGTTTGGACGAATGGTTTTATAGGCATCTCTGACTCGGGATGCCCGCTTATCATATCTTGTCACGATTGTCACGTGACACCACACCATGGGCTCACCACCCACCCGCGCCAGGTTAGCCGGTTGTACATAATATTCGGGACCAAGTCAGCTTCAGACTTATAAAAAGCTCTAAGAATCGGTGAATCGGTGAGTAGCCAAATCGATTAAGTGTTTAACAAATTGACCTTAAGCAGCACCAACTGCATGCATTAACGACCCGGCCAGCTCGCACGCCAACGCCCACCGCCATGCGCCCGCTGAGAGACGTGGCCTTAGGCCTCGGTAACTTCAAATAAAGCGCGATTGTTTTTGTTGCCTAAAATACCATCTGTGGATGATGGTGGGAAAAGATGATGGTTTCGAATAAATGCGCAAATAACAATAAAGCACCACTATGGACAGTCCCAGACGACAGGCATGACTCCACCCAATGAGCTTTTGTTGCCTGTTAATATTATCCCCATAGCACGGTAGCCACCTTTCCCACCACGGTACCTGGTGTGACGAATCCCGACGCGGAGGAGCTGTAGACCTGCTCGTGGATCGGTGACGACACGACCGAGTCGGCGCGGCGGGACGTCTTCACCTGGGACGTGGTGACGGTGCGCTTCCGCTGCGGCAGTCGCTGCAGCGTCATCGTGGACCTGCACGGAGAAAAACCCAGATTACTGGTCATCGGCTTAACACTTCGGTGGCATGATACACCTCCAGGAAGCTCCGAGCCCTTCTGCGAGTATGATATGAAAAAAAAGACACAAGACACAAGAGACACGAGTCCATATGAAGACACAAAACCCATCCCCAACATCCCTCTTAACCTGAGCATTACCATGTTCCAGCTTACGAACTCACTGTTTGAATGTGTCTGGCTTTTTGAAGACCTCGGCGTCGTGCGCGTCGTAGTCGTAGACGGAGCTGGGGATGGCGTGCTCGCTGGTGGGTGGCCGGCCGCGGGGGATCACCGACTGCACGCGCGACACGGCCGTCTTGGGCGCGCCCGGCGGCACCTTGATGCGCGGCACGAACTCCGAGTAGCCCACCCGCTTGTTGGACGAGTAGAAGCTGAGGTTGATCCACGTGTGCGGCAGGTAGTAGTCCTGAGTCTCTGCCAGACCCTTGTTGTGGAACTGAAAGTGGTAAAGTAAACCATTAGCTAGTGAGACACAACACCATTCGCACTCTACCAAAGGCACGCAGCAAAGGCGTAGCTTGCATACAGACCAACAAACACGTATCCTCATGACTACATAACCGCATAGTCCGCGCACCACTAACGCTGCGGATGTGGCAGGGTGCTGACCCGAAGCAGAGGCACGGCGTGGAGCGGCTGCTCGCCCACGCACACCAGGTCGATTCCCACGCCGTAGTCTATGATGCGCTGCTTGGTGAGGTTGTTGAGCTCCCGCTCCACCTGATACACTCCCACGCCGGGCGAGACCACCACACACATCTGACCGGTTCGCTCCAGCGAGCGGTGAAGGTAGTGCTTCTCAAACACTGAAACGCAAAACAAGGTGTGAAGGTGGAATATCCACGAAAGTTGACGTTGATTGAGTGTTTACGTAAAACAATTTTCTGGTGGATATTTTGCTGTGCTATTTTTTTCATTACCGAGTGGAATGTGACTGATCAGACGTTTCAGCGCAAGCAGCAAAACAGGGAACATGGAGCGCAAAACTGAGGAAAACGATTGGACTTCAATAACCAATACAACGGTGCCGAGGGCCTCACCGCACGACTGAGAGCTATCTCACCATTCATGGAGATGTTGAGCACCTCGAGGAAGTTGCCCTGCGCGGCCGAGCTGAGCACGGCGCGGGGCGGCGGCGGCGCGCCCGGCGGCGCTCGGTCCCGGTGGAAGTTCAGCAGACTCTCCCGGTAGCCCATGAACTGGTGCCGGATGGTGGACAGCACCGGCGTCCAGTCGTCGTACCGCTCGTTCTGAACGGCCACCCTGTACAAAGAACAGAAAACAGTTACGTCGACCGCTAAATAATGCCTATCTATTTTCAGGACTGCGTAAGACGAATCACAGATTCAATGTCGTAACTATCAACAAGAGATTTCATCACAAGGGATCAAATTATGTTGTTTTTTCGCATCAAACATTCACTTTCCCATTGGTCTTAATTTTGCAAACGAGAAAAGAAGAGGTAAGATTCCTGAGGTAAAACATAAATCCTTGCACTTGAAACCTATATTGGAATACATGGCCATGAGTCGATTTGACCTATTAAATCAGCACGCACTTTTCGCACAGATCAAACTTAGCATTCATTGCCATGAGCCTCTCATCTGTTATAGAATATCCCTGATTCTGGACATCAGCAAAGCATAAAATGGCACACAAGGACGCAACGTCATACACGAGTACACCGGCCGAGAGCCCTGGCTAGACCAGCACGGCACAAACCTGTAGAAATCCTCGTAAAACATATTCCTGAAGTCCTGCTGCACGTTCTCCTGCATGTACTCGGGGAACTCGTTGATGCTGGATGCTTTGTAGAACAGACGCGAGAACAGCGTGATGGTGACTTCGTGATTCGTGTTGTTGCGCTGAAAAAAAGAAAGGAGAAACTTAAGTTCAGTAGTCACGTCATACCTGTCATAGGCAAAGTAACTGTGCTGAATGCTGATTTTTTTTTTAATTAGACAGCAATCGACACTTAACACTGCAAACTGTGAAGTAGTTAAAAAAGCAGCATGCGCCCTGGCCCTAGATCTCCCGTGTTGTCATCGTTAGGTCGCTAGCAATAACCTGATCAGACCCGCAAGGCGATAAACGGAAGCACACATCGGCCTTGAATTGCTCCCTGATTTTGATCATTGTGACCCCGAAGCATGAAGATGCAAAACTACGTCCGCTGAACGTAACGTAACCCACCTTCCAGTTGTTGAAGAGATCGCTGAGAAAGCCGTTGACCGCCTTTTCGAAGTAGAGGTCCCCGTAGACGTCGAAGTCCCACATTTCTTCGGACATCTGAATATACAGGTGGAACATGCTGGTCGCAGACCGGAACACCACCTGCCGAAAGCGACGGAGATTTTTCAGCAGCCAGCCACTTACATTTAAACACGATTCCCAATATGAATATTTCTAGGCCGACAAGTTAATAGACACTTTCGAAACCAATCAGAGTAATACCATCGTGTGTGTCCCCGTCTGATATCCCGAGCTCCGGTGGCATATTACCTTAGTGTCCGGTGTGACGAGTCCACAGGCCACACGATCGCCCTGCGACCACATTTCAAACACCTGGCAGCGCACAGTCTGCGAGCAAAACTCGACGCTCTTCTTGTGGTGCAGCACCTTCCCCACCTGCCGTCAGAAACACGGCAATCGATAAATCATATAAATCATAAATAAATGAACCATAAACATTTAATCAAACGATTGTCCCAACCAGAAATTACACGAAGTGAGAGAGAGCCAATACGTCCATAAAACCATAGCCAAGATTTATTCAGCGTACGCTTATTAAAGACCAATGTTTTCATGTTTGGAAGGAGTACTTCGTCGTGACTTTAACTCAACTCCGGGTACTTTAGAGATTCAACTACCGGGTAATGGGTTGCCCACTCATAGAATGCCTTATCACGCGAATCACGGAACATATTCATTTCTCTCACCAGGCTGAGTTTCAGTCGCCACATGTCGCTGCGGTTCAGGTAGTGGTCTCGGAAGAGCAGCTCCACAGAATCGAGCGCCACGTCGGCAGGGTCCACCAGGCGCACGCTCACGTGCGCCCACACCTGGTTACGCAGGTGAAACGTCTCAACTAGGGTGGTCTCCACGCTGATAATGTCGCCTGTGATGGGATATGGCGGTTAGTTGGTATTGATTGGAGGGTGCGTCATATTTCTTGCATTGCCTTCAGTGAGAACGTGGGGGAAGTGTGAGGGAGGAGAGAGAGAGAGAGAGAGAGAGAGAGAGAGAGAGAGAGAGAGAGAGAGAGAGAGAGAGAGAGAGAGAGAGAGAGAGAGAGAGAGAGAGAGAGAGAGAGAGGAGGGAGGAGAGGGAGAGAGAGAGGGAGAGAGAGAGATGAAGAGTACAAATCTGCTCGCATCACGTAATAACACGACATGTGCCATGTGCTTGGCACGAGCTGTCGAAATAATGCTTCGGACACAGAGCACATCCCCTATGGTCACACAAAGACCTTATTAAAAATCAGTATGGGGAACACTTTGCAAAAGATATACAGAGTTGGGAAACAAGCAAAAATCATGGGAGACCCACCCCTAAAAGCGAATATGCTATAACCGCTTTCCAAAAGTCTCACATTTCTGGTCATCTCGGAGTGAGCCCGGCGACACGAGCAGCAGAAGTCTCGCGAAGTCGAGGTCTGGGTGGGAGATCTCCACTACCTTCCCCGCCTCCAATCCGGGGATAGAGGCCGGGTGCAGAATCAGCTCCTCTTTGGAATCTGGAACGGAACAATGTTTTCGCACTTTAAATAATCATCCGATATCCACTGTTACGTTTTTACACAAGTAACAATACAAGAAAGAATAACATATATCTTACAAATGGCAAATGTTTCGGTGGCATACATCCAAAACGTCATGTCGTTGACAATGACTGATCATTTCTAACCATAGTCTAAACATAGTTTAGAAATGATCTTATGCTCTCAAAATTATCACCGAAGATGTCACGATTGTTTTGTATGCTTGAGCGGAAAGTCACCGCAAAATTTTTGGTCAACGAGCAATCCAACTCGATTTTACTCGATGAACTACAGAGACATGCTTAGCGAAACTTCCAGAATCATTGCGAATGGCGCGAAAAAATAGCCCTAAAGACAGCAACAGCGTAGCCGCACGCCAATACCTTCAGATCAAAACATGATCGAGAATTCAACTCCCATCCAGGCTATGGTGGCGCCGAAAGACCCCTATTCCCGTTTACTTTCCACTATAAAGGTACCGTAAGGTGGGGCTATTTGAGACAGTGGGGCTATTTGAGACAGTATTTAAAATTGTTATAAAATAAAAACCGTTTGAAATTTATGCTTAATTTTTGCTCAGGCGAATTACTGCTCAATTCCACACATTCCTGAGCAAAAATATCACATAAAAATCAAACGATCTTCATTTTATAGCGATTTTAAATACTGTCTCAAATAGCCCCACTGTCTCAAATAGCCCCACTTTACGGTAAGTACGCCGGTTGATAAGGCTGTCTCACCTCCCCGAACCTGCTGCAGCTTCTGGTGCACGACCAGCTTCAACTGAACCTCCGCAGTCATCGTAGTCTCTGGTTGATCTGAAATGAAAATGGTTAAATGATCAATCTAAGGTATCACGTCCACATCGAGCATTACAAAATATAAATGCAAATCTAAAAATATAAATGCAACGCTCATAGAGTCAACAAAATGATCGAGCTTACTCCGTCGCCGTCGCCGTCTCCTTCTCCGAAAAAAAAACGAACATTTACGCTTTGCCACACTAAGCCAACTTATGTAAGTCAATGTGGTGCAAGAGTGGAACCTTACACATCTCCACAATATGACTCGAAAGTGAATGCACGACCTTCGAGAACATGTTCTATAGAGCGTTCAAGGCACAGAAAAGCAGATGCCACACTATAGAGGTGCTGGAACAAAATTTATATCGATTGCGTACGGGCCATGACAGTTCGTATATCGTTGATGGGTCATCCTGACTATAGATCCTGTCAGTTGGCTTGTGCCACTGAGGTTTGGATAATGCAAGATGATCTGCCTGCATTTGGCCGGATACCTGTCCGCATTACCACGCTTCACGTTAGACCACAAGGTACCTCGCCCGGTTTGCGCCATCTCTCGCGTGAGCATGGCCATAGCCCATACACCTTTTGGGCCTCGTAAGTCCCCAGAGCACCACACAAGCCCCCTTGCACCAGCCCGAACTATGCACCGATCGAAATGCCTCCTAGCGGGCATAACCCACATCACCCAAGTGACCGAGCCAGACTGGCCAAAAGTTTGGTCTTCCGAGTCCGATTCGCGGAAAAAGGACGTAATTATGATGAAAGTACGTGCGTTGATGTTCGCACATAAAAGAACGTGGGCGATAAAGAACGTACTGGCAAACGAACGTATCGCTGAAACCCCAGCTAACCTATCCTGGGAGTTCAGGGGAGAGGGAGGGAGGCAAGACTGGGTGGCACTGTGCAACCCATTCAGTACAATCACTTTCCAGCAAAGACCTATTTCATCTGAAGCATTAAGTTTGTTAGCAGCACAATTTACTTCATGAGGGACTCGTATGGGCACAAAACAAGATATTGAGGACTTGATATAACTAAGAACACAAGCCCCCTCAATTTCATTTCAGATGGAATTATCTGTACATAAACCTGTCAGTTTTGAGTCAACATAAGTAATGTAACTTTACCTCATCAATATTTTAATATTTTAATGGGTACCAGCTATACCTACCACTTATCTGTCATCAGTAATTTCATGAGCCTGAAAGCAGGATATGCAATCTTCTTTTTGCACTTTTGACCTCACCTTATTCTTATTCAGCACTGTAGCTCTCAACTCTCCTCTTCTCACATCTTTCTATTGATGCTACCAGCTTCAAATTCTGAAATAAACATCAAGCATGGCTTAGACTTTATGGTCATCTTTGTAGTTCGAAATGATTTTTTCAATCAAAAGGTTAAAATATCATCAAAATTAGTTGATATACAGACTAATACCTTAACCTGCGCACCAACGGGGGTCTGCGCAAACTTCGCACCGACGGGGGGGGCGGATGACCGCCCCCCCCCCCCCTGAGATCTCGAGAACGAAGCAAGATAGCGACAAGCGGTAAACGGCATCGGATACGCACGGTCAAGATCTACAATTTTTACACAGGTCATTTTCAGGTCAGGTCAAAGATGACGTCACAGGGTTCGAAAAAGTCAACATGGCGGCGCTAGATATGGAGAGTTTTTTCTCGAATAACTTTCGAATTAGTCAAGATAGGAACAAACTAAGGGCATCATCGTGATCCTCTCGTCAATCCGCATCGAATGATATATATGTTGACCTCGAAAGGTCAAGGTCAAAGGTTGACCTCAGGTCACGTGACCTCGAGGTCATCATGTATAACATTCGATGCGTCTTGACGAGCTGAACACAATGAGACCATCCACGCGTCTGTATCTTGTTCCTGTACGGAGTTATTGGCCAAAAACCTTTGGTGACCTTTGATGACGTCACATGACCTCACAGCTGCCCAACAGCAAAACAGACCTCAAGGTAGTGAAGGTTGATCGTATATGAAGTCATGTATGGTATATGGGGCCATTCCGACCCGTTTTAGTGGTAAAAACAGAGAGTTGATTTTTCCCCCATTGACTTATAATGGGGAGGTCGCGAAATTGACCTGACCTTAGGTCACCGATATCAAAATTCCGAGATAAACAAATTATAGCTACTAATGACCTAATAACATCCTACGACTTTCAAAGGCCTCCGACATCTACTGTAGCTCTGGCACGGTGACAAAGTTGCAAAAAAGTGACTTGAGGTTGGGTCATTCAAAGTGACCTGGTGACCTGACCTTGAAAGGTAGGAGGTTCAAACTTGCACACCATGTGTAAAATTGATGAGGGAATAGTCGTACCAAATTTCGCTGCGCTGTAACATTCTGCCTGTTGGCAAGCTGTGCTCCCCCAGGAACAATTCATGCTAGAGGGTAACCTTAGAATAGAACCAGCTCTCATCTAATTAGGCGCCTAGAACCTTTTTAGGAGCATGCTCCTGCAGAGCCTAGCCACCTTTCAGGATATATTTTGATCATCTGTCAGCACAAATATCAATGAAACAACAAGGCAAGAATGAGATCTGTGCCAGCACCTGTAATAATTTCCAGCTTGAGCTCAGCTATGGCTGCAGAGGGCAAGGCTGCACAGGATATGAGTCTGTGAGATTGATGTCTTTTAACTTTATTTTATAAATTTAGCTTGAACGTCTGAATGGATGGGTTGACAGCCGTAGCCAACTCTACGCAGAGCAGTTGTGGTACTCTCATAGCAGATGTTGCCCTTGCTGCATAATCTAACCTGACCTAGCCCTACCTTCAACCTACAACCCACCAGCCTACAACCTACCAACCTACAACCTACAACCTACAACCTACCAACCTACAACCTACCAACCTACAACCTACCAACCTACAACCTACCAACCTACAACCTACCAACTAGATACCTACCAATTTAGATACCAAAGTTTAATGTGCCCTTCAAACCTGGACACAGCCTGTCCCACTCAACTAACGTCAACTCTGTGGCTGCTCCAACCAGCCACAGACCATCCCCTTCAGGAGTCTCAAATGTCGAGCGCCGGAGCGACTCCAACCCGGGCTCTCACCACCAGGAGTCCAACACTCTACCCACTTGAACTGAGCTACAGGACAGGCAAAATTTATGATGGTTCTGCCTTTACTCAGAGTCAGAGTCAGAGTCAGAGTCCATGTAAGCAGCATACCTATCTCAAGAGCTGGCGAATCTATCGACTTTTCCCAAACGGGTGGCAGCATGCGAGACGTCTGCTATAAGAATGTCCATCAGAGCCCCATTTAATGGCATGATGCTCAGAGTATATAAGCAACATCATCTATAGAGTATATTGAGATTGACAATTGACATAAATGATGCTACTCGCCGCCCCTTTCAGAATCAGGCCAAGGTACTAGCAATAGATTGAAATGTAAGCAAAATTGCTTTGCTAGGTTTGCTGTCTGCTGACGTTTTCATGGAAACAGGCACGTCAGGCCCAAGCACAGGCCCAAGTGGTGGCAGGTAGAATCACATCAGTGCTGCCAGATGGAGAAGGCTGTAATCCTCCAGATCAGTTACAAAAATCCTCCAGATTCCTCCAAATCCCATTGGCGGATCCAGATAGGCGGTCTTGGACGCTGCGGGAGGGCATATCTCCGAAAAGGTTTCTCCAAATTCTAAAAACTCATCGGATTTCGATTCCTTTCGCACTGCTGTGTAGTTTAAAAGATGCTTTTTTATAATAAAAGTTGTTTAGTTTTCGTTTTATCCTTGAAAAAAAAACGAAAATTTTCTTCGATTTTGGACGCTGCAGGAGGGGGGGGGGAATTTGCGCCAAATGTCCCCCTTTGATCCGCCCGTAGTTCGGTACCTTCAAAAACATATGGTACAATCGTACACGAAATAGGAACAAATAGTCACCATGATATTCGTGGATATAGCTACAGACTGAGACATTCCAGTCTCACGGTGATAAAGGGCAGTGATATATCCTAACGGGTAGGGTGAAGCTGGGCAGGAAAATGTCTTTTGAGTCTTGAACGCGTTGTATTTTTCCATGAAATTGAATGTATTAATCGGGTGACAAATCCTCCAGATTTTCCTCCGGAATCAAAAATCCTCCAAACGCGAAATTTGTCCGCAAATAGAGTTCAAAATCCTCCAGATTTGCGGAAATCCTCCAAATCTGGCAGCACTGAATCACATGCTGTGCACGGTATATAGAGAAATGCCGTGAAAGATTTCTGAAAAGATTCTTCGTGAAAGATAAATGCCCTTCACAGCATCTAAGAACTACGTTCATTGAAATGACTTATTTTACTAGAAAGTGAAGGGATATTGGGGCGTATAAATGTTTTTATTTTGATATGGCAGCAATATCCAGTCAAAGCTGAAACTTACCTTAGTTTCACTGCGATGCTCGTTTCCATAAAATTTTCTTCTTCTTGTTGGTGCTCATGCTTTTGTCACTGTAGTTATTACTATAGTCACGTGGTACAAGGCTAAAACGTTGAATTTGACCTTGTTTTGACAAGATTTTTGGATGTTATGGTACTGATTATAATAAATAAAATAATATCTGCATATTTCAAATATGAAATATTATTTAATTTGCTTTCATCTCGTTTAAAACTTCCATTTTATCATGCCCTTACCAAAAACTGAACCACAAAGAGCTCGAAGGTTACCCTTTACCAGCCAGCATCACGCGAGAGGAGCCGTTTAGGATCTCTGAATTTTGTTGGGCGCCGGCTGAGAGTTGAGTGGCCAGGAAAAATCGGCAGGTGATTAATCAGGCAATAGGTTAATTGCCTAAGACTTTGAAAGGTAAAATTTTGTTCAACTTCATTATTTTCTGGTGAAATTATACCACTGTTGGAGGCTGAACATCGATTTTCAAAAGCATTAATTTTGTGATATAGGTATTGATGTGCTGATCAAAAATTGAGTCATTGGGTCATAACATTATGCTCACTGAATTTCTCAGCAAATGGAGCAACATCAAACAGCATTAGTTAGGTATGCTTAGGCTGGAGGGAGCCAGAGCGTCGTAGGCCTTCTTGTAACTGCAACATGTCGCAAGTTGTGTAGTAAGTCGTTTTTGAAGCGATCATCTGGTAAGAAGTGTTACTTAAGTTGTAAAGTCTGTTGCAAGTTGCCTGATTTGCAACAACCTACAAATTTCATAGCAGTCTTAAGTTAAGTTGTGTTGCAAGCTGACCCTGCATTGAGGAAGAGGTCACAGGTCACAGGTTATTTGGGACATGGTCAATGAATTCACATGGTAGGTGTAAAATTGGTCAACCTGGAGATCATGAAATTTTGGTTGCAATCCGTTGACGCTAAAGCGAGTTATAGAACTTGAACCATGGGTTGTCCATGAGGTCTCAAACTGTGCCAGTGAGTGTTGAAAATGGTGCATATGTTACATTCACACTTATTGGGGTATTCAGGGATACAAAGTAGCCTAACACCCATTCCAGTAACTACTGACAAATCCAAAAAGGCGGTCTTGACACATTGCAAGGGGCGTCCCCCAAAAGATTTAAAAGATGACCCAATCATCCTAATTCCAAAAATGATGTGTCCCAGATGACCCCTATGACCTCCCATTGAGCTCTGTGATGACCCCAAGTTGACCTATGTGACCTGACATGTCCCAGATGACCTTTGTGACCTCTAATTGAGCTGTCTGATGACTCCAAACTGACCTCTGTGACCTGCCATGTCCCAGATGACCCAATAGAGCTCTGTGATGATCCCAAGTTGACCTCTGTGACCTGGCATGTCCCATATGACCTCTGTGACCTCAAGTGACCTCTCTGATGACCCCCCCCCCCCCCTATGGGCGCTGATGACCACTGTAGTCCGGGCGCCCAAAAACTCCAATTCATCATCATCATCATCTGACCCCAAGCTGACCTCTGTGAGCTGACATGTCCCAGATGACCCCCATGACCTCCAATAGAGCTCGGTGATGACCACAAGTTGACTTCTGTGACCTGGGGTGTTCCAGATGACCTCCGTGACCTCCAATTGAGCTCTCTGATGACTCCAAGCTAACCTCTGTGACCTGATGTGTCCTAGATGACCTCCAATCGAGCTCTGTGATGACCCCAAGTTGACCTCTGTGACCTGACGTGTCCCGTAAGACCTCTGTGACCTCTAAGTGACCTCTCTGATGACCCCAAGCTGACCTCTGTGACCTGACGTGTCCCAGTTGACCCACATGACCTCCAATAGAGCTGTGATGACCCAAAATTGACCTCTGTGATCTGACATATCCCAGATGACCTCTGTAACCTCCAATTGTGACCTCCAACTGTGACACTCTTACCTCTGTGACCTCAAACTCTGAACTCATTTATTCTAAAGCATCGTTTCTAGATGCCCTTGTCACGAATCTACTGTGATCGATCCCAAATTTTATGGCAACTCGCGTGAGCCTTAGCGATCACAAGTCACCCAGTTGAGACAAAGCTTCAGAACCAGAGAAAATGCTTGACCTGGCTGTCTCACAAGATCGCAAACCATACGGGCGAATGTTCCTTTGTGCGTGATAGAGTTTTCGACCTTACCGACGTTTACTACGGTACCAGCTGATCGTGTAGCCTTTTAAATTATCGAGTAAAGCGGGTATTTAAGCCTTGTCGCAGCTACGTTCTGTCGTATCCTCCGACAATCCGCTCTTTCCTCAACAATCAACATCCCTCCTTTTTCGCTACGACACAACTTACGACGGGACATATGTCGTAACTTGCGACGTGTCGTAGGTGGATTTGCGACGCCCTGGATCCCTCCGGCCGTGTGGTAAATCAATACACCAAACACACTGACACGAACTCGCAGTTAAGCATCAGCCGGATGTGAACAGATCATCTCAAGATTGTAAGATGTAAGAGAAGACTGGAATCCATCAGTGGCCATTGTTTTTTTTTTAAACTGTCTCTTACAACCACCCGCAAGTTTAAAGGATTATATGCCAGGTTACAATTATAATTTGGTATGTATTGTTTGTTGCAGCAATGGCCTTGGTTCGCTCTGCCCTGCGGCTGACCCGCTCGTCGGGTGTCCTGGCTCAATGCTCCCGCTCAATGGCTGACATGCCTCTGACGTTCGCCGCTCCCAGCCAGGTGTTCTATAACCAGCAGGACGTCCGCCAGGTGGACGTACCCTCATTCAGGTAAGTGGGACATTATCAGAAAGTTACGATGGTTTGTTGGAATTAATATCCAACTTATTTATCCATGTTTTCATCATGTGAGCCTTAACCCGCGCCGGGCCGGTGCTCTGACTTCTGAGATTCCGCGCCGGGCCGGGGGGGGGGGGGGGGTCTGAACGGTGAACACCTCCCCCCTCCTTCTAACTCGGCTCCTGGGCCACGTAGCGACACGCGGTAAGCGGCAATCGAAAGAACGTCCAAAATAAGGACGAAAACACTTCGGTCATTTTTCGGGTCAGGTCAAAGGTCAGGTCACCAGAGTCCAGAGGTCACCGTAGGTCAAATGTCCACTATTTCAACATTTTGGGAACTGCCAACGGCTATCTCGGGAACCGATAGAGCTACAGCGCCGCGGAAAAGCGCATTCGATAGCCCTTTTACAGTCCTTTCTGAGTAATGTTCTTAGATTTGACCTCAGGTCAACGGTTTAGCCTCCAGGGGGCAAAAACTCCAAAAATAGCCGTTTTTACGAAAAACGTTTTTTCGGCAATAACTTTTGACTCAAAAGAGTCATGACATTACTTTTGCCACCATCGTGTTCCTCTCGTCGAGACGCGTCGAATGAACTATAATTTGACCTTGAAAGGTCAACTTAAAAATTTGACCTCAGGTCAAGGTCATGACCTGACCGGAAAAGGTCATGTTGCATATCAGTCGATCCGCAACGTCGAGCCGAACACATCTAAGGCGTTTTCAGCGCTCTAGCACGTCTCTATCAGAAGTTATTAGCGAAAAACTGTTAGATTCTGTTCGTGACCTGAGATGACCTCGGGGACATAACGAGGGGTCACAGTTGCCATTTTCCGGTTCAGTGTGTCCATTTTACCTACATCTCGATGTTTGAGAGTGTCTAGAATAACGTTCGTGCAAAACAGACGCTTTTCAATTTTCTCCCATTGACTTATAATGGAGAGGTCGCAAAATTGACCTGACCTTAGGTCATCGATATCAAAATTCCGAGATATACATTTTATAGATATTGTTGCTCTTATCAATCGCTCTAAGTTTCAAGGCAATCGATCAATCGGTGTAGCTATGACGAGCATTCTTATTTTTTCTGAGGTGAGGTCACTTGGCGTGACCTGGTGACCTGACCTAAGGTGACCTGGGTCTGAAATTTTCACAACATGTGCGGAAAAGATGCACGAACAGGTGTGCCAAAAACGGCGGCGCGGAGCGCCGCCGTTTTTGAGATATCTGCGAAAAACCGCAGGAGGGGGTGTTCAAACACCCCCCCCCGGCCCGGCGCGGGTTAAAGGGACCCTCCCAGTCCCACCCTCAAAAAAGTTAATGAATTGGCATGAAAGTGATGTCGCTCGGTTCAGAAAGAGCAAAACGAATATCCACGAAATTTCATCGAAAAAAATATTCACCGGTTTTCAAGATATTAAGACTTATTTTGTTTACTTTTTGGTATATCTGCTGTTCCTAGCGACTTCGTTTTGGAAGTGCGGCGTTTGCGGCAGATGTTACGCGCAAATAGCATAACCACCACTGCTTCACAAAGATGTTAGTATAAGGTTTTAAAATCGTTAGATCACCGCCGACGTCAATAAATTCTAATTTCTAAGGGGACATTCCAATGCATTAGCCCCTTAGAATCCGAAAACTGCAAGTTTGAAATTCCATATCTGCGAGTTCAAGCATTTTTCGATGTTGTGAGTGCCCAAACCGGTATTTGCAGGCCATGGCCACCAACTTGGCTATCTCAACTCAAAACTAATTTTAAGGTGGGATGGTCACTTTAAAGGAAATAGTTCGACCTTCTACAATCAGGCATTTGTTGTGAATGATGATTGTCTTTTGTACTTTATCATTTTTGTTACAAATTCTTAAACATCTCTGTTTGCACCCACACCCCAATGAAAGAAACAAAACTAACAACCATATGCAAAGGTTTAAAGTTGAAATATGATAGCCTTATGATAGCCTCATCAGGAACGAGTGTAGGCTAGACCTAATTCCCACGTATCGCGGCTTGACCCCACCGCGTCTGGTTTGATCGCAGTGTATCGCAGTCTAACTGCACCGTATTCGGTATGATTACAGCGGTAACTTTGGCATCCTGCCGAACCACGTGCCGGTGCTGGCCGTGCTGCAGCCGGGCGTCGTCAGCGTGGTCGAGGCCGACGGCAGCACCAACAAGTACTTCGTCAGCAGCGGCTCCGTCACCGTCAACAAGGACTCCACCGTGCAGGTACGCCGACGCGGCGTGGGGCCCTCTGCCGTCCCTCCTTCAGGTGCTCCAGCTCTCTCAATACCTTCATTCGGCTCTAACTAATGGCACAGTCATCTGTCTCCAGCCCTCCTTGCCAATGGTGAGATACCAGGACGGAGGACGGGGTCTGATGGACGGGAAACATTTTCCCATCAGTGCTTCGCGAATTTTGTAAACGCCCATTCTGACCGTATGGATGAGCCGGTAGCACATTTGATAGCCCTGTCCTCCCGCTGTTTTAGTGCGGTGTTTCAGTCGATCCGATGAGGGTGTGTCTGGCACTGACCGATGGCCCGCTGCGCACAGGTGCTGGCGGAGGAGGCGGTGCCCCTGTCGGACCTGGACGCGGCCGCCTGCAGACAGGCGCTCACCCAGGCGCAGGCGGACCTGGCCAGCGCCACCGGCGACCAGGAGCGCGTCGAGGCCCAGATCGCCGTCGAGGTCAGCGAGGCGCTTGTCAAGGCCTGCGAGTGAACGACATTCTATCTCTGTTTTGGTGTGTTTAGGCCGATGACGGTATGCGAAATATACATTTGTAAATGAGAATGGTGGTAAGATCACTGATACATGGTCAATGAGGCGAAATACTGCATTCCTTAAGTACCGTCGTAAAGAAAATGCATGCTGGGCCGCTAGAACTGTTCTACCCGTCAACATCTTTGTGCATTTTCTTAACGCCTTTCAAGTCGGCGCCATTTTTTAATTTCGGATAAAGCACGACGATCACGGATGCAAGTGCACTGTCTAAAGCTTGCAAAGTCTCAGAAAAGTTACGGGAAAGGTTTGACATTACCTAGCACCTGCTCTTTATTTCACAACTTATCACAAGGCAATGATTGATGACAATATGTCGATGAAGTAGACTACATGGGTGAATGAAAATAAAGACCAGAACAGCCTGCACTTGCGATGTTACTGATCGGCCATGTAGGCGTGTGGTCCAAACTATGTAGTAAGGGGAACGACATGACAACCATCACCACACAAATAAGCTGGCAGCACGCGGCTGCGATACGCTCAATACTGGAAGCTGCGCTTGGTCTGAATGTCGTCCAGGATGGCCCGAAGTTCTTCGTCCTCGTAACGTCCCTCCAGGCTGCCGGGGGGAGAGCAGAAAGATGGCGCACAACAAAACTAAATCCAGGGTGTGGATAAATGTATTTTCATTACTTGCGACGACCAAAATGCAAGTTGATCATCAAAATATTGTTCTGATGCATAAAGTTTCTCATTTAGCCAATTACCAGGGCAACAATCACGTTCAACACTGACAAAGCACAAGTGCCAAAGGTCGGATACTAGACCCTTGGGGGCCAGGGCGACACTAGAACGACAACCACCCGAGGCCGCGAAAAACCGTCATCCTGCAGGCGATCGTGACAAACGCTCCCCTTACACCAGCATGTGTCGCAATCGGCAGCATGTTCATACACATTCTGTAGGTTGAGCGATTCCCGATATTGGGATACATGGTTGAAGTAAAGAGTTGTGACAGCCAAACTAAAATGCTGAAATGCTCGTAGGGGATGTTAAAGGAAGGAAGCAAGACGGTATTAAAAACACGCAGCTGGGTAGTCGCGGCAGGTTGAGGATGAGGAGGAACGTCAGTAGAAGGGCACTACGTAAGACCAGTGTACATACAATGTACATTTGTCGTAACTTTCAAACATGCGACTTACCTGGGTATAAGTGTTTTGGCCTCATCAGGGTTGTCTGGGCAAAGACTGGCCAGTGCGGCAAGCTCGTACTTGTGCAGCTTTTTCTGAGCAAGGAGACTGCCGGGCGCAAAGTACCGAAGTCAGACAGATAGAATAGGCCGAATAGAGAGTACGACGGAAAAACGCTAAACGGCGGCCATCGAATGGTGAAAGGGATCAAATGTACATATGAATGAACTACAATAGACAAACAGTTACTGCGCGACCTCCTGCGGGTTAACTGGCATAATAGCAGCACTGAGGAATGTGGAAACAAAAAACGAATCACCAATCTTCATCAACAGTACCTACTTACTTTCGGACAGATGCAATCGTTTCTCGGTTCTTGAACTTAGCGAAACGACCGGCGTACGCCAGAGTCTTCAGGAAAACCTCCGATAGTTCTTGTTCCTCTTCGGCATTCTCATTCTGAGCCTTGCGGTGCTCCAAAAGCATGTGTACCTCTGATATCATGAGTGTCTCAGCATTGTCAAACTCTGTAAGAAAATGTCAGCAGTCAGGAATTCAGGACAAAGTTAGTACATTAAGTAGGGCCATATGTAGCAGAATCTTTATATCAAGCATAACATAAAGGCTAATACATCACTTTAACTGATCAGATAAAACTGCTTTAAAAATGTTATTTTATTTTTTTAGTTTTTACTGCCAAGTTTTTAGGCCATATGGTCTTATAACCTGATGGCTAAGTAAGGTAAGGTAAGATAAGGTTTTACAAATGTTGCATTGCTCTGAATCAATAAAGCATTTTGTTTGCAACAATGTAGGTAACTTTGGACTCAAAACATTTAAAAAATAAATTGCAAATGCATGAATGGCTTGAATAGCATTGAAAAGGTAATTCATAAATTGAAGTGTGCATGAATACTGTATAGTAATAACGGATTTCGCATACTAACTGTACATACATATACTCACCTTTTGGGAACTGCAGTTCTGATGCATCCTCTTCTGGTTGCTCTGCAGGAACATGTGCCATGGTTTTGGCTTTGGAACTAGACTGGGAAAAAACCTGGAAAAATATCAAAGCTGCTTATATCTAAAAGTGACTGCATAGCGCATTTCGCTTTCCTGTGATAATGATTTGGGTTATGGATGCCTGAATTGTGGTTGTCACTGGCACCCATAACTTTGTTCAATGCAAACAAAGTGTTTCCACTTTCTGTGACATGTTTTATTCCAAATTAAAAAACAAAACACTTAATACTTTAGACTTTTTAGTTGAGTAAAAGACATTACCTAGCAGGAAGTAAGCAACAAAGTTGAATGTATTCTAGTTGGTAATGAACGCAACACATTGGACGTAATACTTCACAAATAGAAGCTTTAACCAAAAAATTGCAACATACATGCACTCTACATACCTCTAAAAAGGCTAATTTATAATATTGTTTATAAATATACGCTACCACACCACGACAGATTCGCCGCTCCGTAATTGTCGCTTGTCTTTTGATTTCGTCGAAATATGGTAGCAACAGCAACCATATGTTAGAGGGAATTTGGTATACGGAACAGGATTATTTGCGTTATATACACGGTGAACATTGAACAAGGGACATACCTGAGTGAGAGCAAGTAATCTTGCCTGGGCCTGAGACCAGGATGCTCGTGTTGGAAGTGTGAGATTTTGATTCCGACTCGACCCTTGTACCAAGCCTGACTCTCGAAGCCCCAGGGGAGGATTTTTGCCCAGAGGTCGTAGAAATCACGATAACTTGGCCTCAAGGAGGATCTTTGGTGACCTGTGTTCGATATCAAATCAAGGGTGGTAGGTATATAGTGCCGGATATAAGCATGTGAAACGCCGTCTGCCCGTCTCCAATCAATGCATGAAATCGGTAACCCCATGTAAATTGTAAAGTGATGCGTCGGCGAATATTGCCATATGGACGGATGACGTGAGTGGTGGCCAGAGAGTCAACTTATATGCGCGGCCGGGCATCGGACTGCGCCGTAGATATTAGGTATCATTTTCAGGACGAAAATGTCATGATAAAAGTGTACAACATGCGTGTTTCATGTAAAAAGTGAGCAGCGCAGCACACCAGCCCAGTCGATGAAATGCGTCACTTTATGCACAAAATGCTTTCGGAGCAGATGAAACGCAGGTGACGAATGGACAAAATGTCCTATGAATGCGTTTTTGCCGTTAGCTGTGCTATACATCGCAGAAACCGCCGCAAAACTAAATGCGCGAGCTGGCCTATTAGTCACGTCTAATTAACCCGGCAGGCGGTGGGCCTACCAGCCACCTTCCGCGCGGTGGGGGGGGGGGCATTTTTTGCCCCCCCCCCCCGTATCTCCGAAACTACTGGACGGATCCAGGCCCATGTCGTCCCCTATCTCTCTGCGTGTCCACTAACACGAATGACGTCACGCATGTGGGCGGAGCTATGGGCGGAGCCTAACGCACGCGGCAGTCCAAGCCGCCATATTTGAATTTATATTTTAATAGAATCTTGCCGATATTTTGGGTGAAGTCAATTTATATGGATAGCTTGGTCACAGTTTAGCTATACGAATAATAATTTATTATGGATGTGCGTATATTCAGCTTGGAATTGCAATTAAAGTTCCGCACCGCCTAGATTCGAACTCGGGACCTTTGGAATACTGCGCGGGCACGCTAACCACTACACTACCGCGACCGCGCGGCGGCCGGCGGCAGGGAGGCTGCGGAGACATGGGGGGACATTTTACGCTTTTGTGAAAAAAGCAAAAGATTTAGCGAAAAACAGGTAATAGATAACTTGCAGAAAATTGTCTGCTCTTTCAGATAAGATACTTAGGTTTGATATATCTTGTGCAGACTTCATTCTACAGTGCTTCGAAAATCGCTCATTTACATGGAGATTGAACGGGGCTTCGAGACTTGACTCCAAATGACGTCACGAGCTGACGTCACGAAAAGGTAGAATCGCCGGACGACCCTACCTGGTATATAGGGCCTTGGACGGATCCGGAAAATTCAAACGGCGTTCGACAGCCCCCCTGTCAAATTTGTTGAAGGAAACCAAATTTCATTGACCTCGGGGTCACCGATGACGTCACAGGTCAGGTCAAAGATAAAATGTTTCACCGTTCACGGTTCAGTTCAGTTCAGTGTATTGGAACATTCCAAACAATTGGGTGTTACTGTTCCACGTCAAGTACATGAAGCATATAAAACCACAACCATACACATCGAAAACCAAACACTAAAAAACGCAGAAAGATGGTGTTTAAAACAGATATAAAACATATATAAAACAGTGAACCACGCTACATTATATCGATGTGCTGTTCGACATTCAGCGCTGCCGTAAAAGCTCTAATTGTGGCCGCCTCCCGGACAGGCGGTGGTAGTGAGTTCCACGCTGAGGCTGCACGGCGAGAGAAACTATGCCGCGATGCACTCAAATTACATCTGCACAGGTGCAGGTCACCCCTGTCGGTGGCACGCGTGCATCTCGCCGATACGCTCTCCCGTCGGGTGAACATTTCCCGGATCGCAGTCGGTGAGTCATCATACGACAGCGCGCTAAACACTTTGACAAGGTCACGACGCTTAACCAGAGTCTCGATCTTTGACCACTTTAGCTGTTGAAGAGCCGGTGTAATATGCTGATGTTTTTTGAGTCCAATGACGAGTCTCGCTGCAAAATTGATAACTTTTTGAATTCTGTGCAGCTGACCTTTGGCAGCCGCACCCCACACTGTCAAACAGTAAATGATGTGAGGGAAGACATAAGCCTCGATCAAGATTTTGATGGCATCACTGGAGAAGTAGTGACGAAACTTGCAAAGCGTTACTAGGAAACGGTTACACTTCTGTGCAACCGCTGTCACATGTGCAGCCCAATTTAGCCTGGCGTCAATAATAACGCCCAGGACTTTGATCTTTTCCGACGGCCGTACTACTGAGTCACCTATCTGAAAGTAAAAATTTGCTGACTTGGTTAAATTTTGTTTCGTCCCGACCAGCATGAAGTCAGTCTTTCCTTCGTTCATTTTTAAAGAATTGGCACTAAACCAGGCTTTTAGCTCTTCTAGGGTGGCTTCAAGTCTGCTTTTCATTGCATCGAAGCCAGACTCGTCAGGAAGTGTACAGTCGAGGTGCATTGTGTCGTCAGCGTAAGTGATCAGGCTGCCGTGAGACAAGTAGCAGGGTAAGTCGCCGGTGAACAATATAAACAGAACAGGTCCGATAATTGATCCCTGAGGCACACCGCAGGACACCGGCAAACAGCTCCGCCCTCCCCGAACAATCTGTTCTCTGCCGGTCAGGTAACTGCTGAACCAATCGATGTCTAAAATGCCGTACCACGACAGTTTTGCAAGTAAGACACCATGGTCGACGCTATCGAACGCCTTCGATAAGTCGACCGTCGTCAACGACGATACGAGTCCTCTGTCGGTGTTGTTCACCAGGCGCTCAACAGCAGCGAGCACGGCGTCCTCGGTTGAGTGACGCACCCTATATGCATACTGAGATGGGCTAAACAGACGAGCAGAGCTGAGATAACTAGTCAGTTGGCGGCACACTACTTTTTCCAGAATTTTTGATAAGACGCTTAAAAGTGAGATGGGACGATTGTTCGATGGGACCGAGACATCGCCAGATTTTGGTATCGGCACGACACACGCTGTTTTCCACGCGTCAGGAAACACTTTGGTAGTCACACTGAAAAAATTTTTTACTCAGGCCAGGCATTACTCAGTAATAACTCATGAAGAAACTCAGTGAATACGATAGTGGTGCTCACTTATTGGCTGATCTAACTCACATCACCAGGGTGACTTCGTTATGCGTGAGTTCTGAGTGCTTAGTTTCGTGAATTCGAACTGAGTCGGAAATGAGTTTTGCTTGGGCAAATCTAGTTTCCTGCGCAATGCATGAGTTCTCGCGAATTCACGTGCAGTTGTGCGTGAGGTACCCCCGGCTTGAAGATGCGCGCATGCGCGGCAGGGTGAGTTTCCTGCGTGATGCGTGAGTTCGCGTGATGAGTATTATAGCCGTTGCGTTCGAAAACCGCGGCGCGCGCTTCAGTCCGTTGCGGTGACTCGCGTAGTTCACGTTGAATTGTTGAGGCTATTGTGAAATTGTGCGGGAGAGTGCAGGAGCGGGGAAGGCGTGCAGCGAAGGATGGGACCGGTAAGTTATCTGTGAAGAGCTCGGTGATTGTCGATGAAGCCTTTATCAATCGCATGCGCCGCGGAGAACAGGGAGGTGAACTGATGGACCAGCAGACATTCCCCGCCGGCGTCAGGAGGTCGGTGCCAACCGTGAACGGCGGAGCAGATCGATCGAGAAACTGAGGGATACCTACCCGGCATAGTTCGAGAAAGAAGAGGTGAGTTATGTTATATTTAAATTTAACCCTTGCATGTGTGCGGCGTTTTCCAGCTTCTAATGTGTAGGGGGGGGGGGGTCGGTTGGATTTAACCGATTTGGTCGGTTAAATTTAACCCTTGCCGTTTGGCCCCTGATCGAGCTAGAGCTTCGCGGAAAAAAACGAGCGTGTTGCCCGTGACGAGAGGAAGCCGATGATACCCAATTTTAAGGTCCTAGGTCATTGGTTGACCTTCCAGGTCAGGTCAATGACCCAAAGTCGGGAAAATCGGGACCTATTAGAAAGTCGTAAAGTGTGGCTGCTAAGGGGTTTTTCGGGGTACTGATCACGAATATCGTGTTAGTTTTGATCACAGATGATGTCTTTAAGCATTTAGACCAGGTCGGGTCAGGTCAGGTCAGGTCAATCAGTAGGCGTCGTGACGGGTATTCGTAGTACGTGTCAACCGCCTCTGACAGCTTCGTAACATGTTACGAAGGCACCAAAACTACTTCGTAAGTGTTCAAATGGTTGTTAAATTCGAATTCAGCTCCAAAAACTAGCCTAGAAACATGTAAAACTCGAAAAAGTGAACCGAGGTCACCCGAGGTCACCAAAGGTCAATGACCTGACCTGACCTTCAGGTGACCTTGACACCCACCCTAATGCATGGGAGCAACATCAAATCACATGTTTGAACGTTTGAAACCACGAAAAGCTTGCAAACGCGCGGCTAATGCGAGCCGACGTACGCCGAATCGCGATTCCGGCCAAACATGGTCTCGGAAAAGAGGTCACAGGTCAAAGGTCATTTGGGTCAGGGTCATGAAAGTTTCAGGGTAGGTGTAAAATTGATCAATGCGATGGTACTGAAAGTTTCGTCGCGATCAGCCGCTTTTTACGCGAGTTATTCGCGAAAAACCATGGGGAAAGGGGGGTCAATCCGACCCCCCCTACACATGCGAGGGTTAGAAAAAAACATGTTTGTGGGATAATGTTGTCCTTATCCTAAAAGAACGTTCATTTGACCCTTTTTACTTCTTTAAACAAGAACTCCGTCACGACCCGATGTTTTTTTTTGGGGGGGGCGAAGGTTGTTTGAAGTCGATTCTTTCCATG